TCCGTGCCAATGCCTTCAAACCAATACGTAAAGCCCCTTCATGCTTACAAAGCAACGACAGTACGAGCAGTACCATAGTCATTGATGGTAACACTGATTACAAGACTGTTCCGAGTCCAGGGGGACACGAGGGAGACAACATTGTATCCAACGCACTGAAATCGGCAATGGACATTTTCCGACTTCCCCTTACAATGCTGCGGTCTGGACAAACCGCTCCAGACCCTCCCCAATCTCAGAAAGAGTCGCCGTGTGAGCCAGGGAAGCTGGAAAGAGGGGAAGCTGGAAATGCAATCATACATGCACAATCGGCAACGGCGAACGCCATCCTACAACCCATGGCCAGGGCGCCATCGTGCCTGCAAGATAACCACATGTACGCGTCGGCTCCACGTACACCGGCACCGGACGAATCAGAGAGCATCTCAACCAACGATGAAGCCACCACAACAACTTTTGCCAGCCAAGCGCCTTCAACTGATCCAACCAATGCTGAAACTGTGCCACCCTGTCCTCAACCTACGAGCATGAACTCATCGAAAGATCCTCCAGGCATACAAGTGGCAGGTATGTGCTCTGATTGCTTTCATACTAGCCTAACTACATCACACTTCTAACAGCCCTAGAAATAGATCATTTGTCTTTTACTGAAGACTGTTGATACCAGTCAAATGTTACTATGATCTGTTTCAGGATGCAGACGTCACTGGGTTGGCGTTACCGTGTTGGTGGCTACCGTCCTTGTGGTCTTGATCATCGCTGGCATCATGGTCTGGGTGTGTCTATTTCACAGTGTTACGCCAGGGCACCAAACTGTAAGTTTTGGCCCATTTATATCTGTTGACAATAAAGGCAAAACATACAAATTGGTGATCATTGTAGATTTCAAAATCTATACTATTATACTATTACCATTACCTCTGCAACAGGTCTAACTCAATAATATGTCTAGGGCAAACTTTACAATGACTATGTCTAACTCACAGGGTGTCGCACTGCCATCGACCTCCAGCCGACCAAAAGGTGCCACACTGACTTCAACCTCTAACAACCCAAATGATACCACAGTGCTATCGACCTCCACCAGGGCAGAAGGTGTTGCACTACCATCGACCTTCACCAAGTTGCAAAGTGTCAAACTGCCATCGACCTCCACCGAGCCAAAAGGTGTCGCATTGCCATCGACCTCCACCAAGCCACAAAGTGTCGAACTGCCATCGACCTCCACCAAACCAAAAGGTGTCAAAATGCCATCGACCTCCACCAAGTTAGAACGTGTCGTACTGCCATTGAACTCCACCAAGCCACAAAGTGTCGCACTACCATCGACCTCCAGTCTCCCACAAGGTGCCACACTGACTGCAACCTCTAGCAACCCAAATGATACCATAGTGCTATCGACCTCCACCAGGTCAGAAGGTGCCACATTGCCATTGACCTCCACCAAGCCACGGAGTACGAGTGCTACACTTCCACTGACCACCAACAGCTTACGAGGTAAAGGTGATATAAAGTGGGGGGAATGGGGGAATGATCATAACATAGTTCCAAAAGTCCGTACATGTTTGTTGCTCCATTTGTCTAGAATAATGGACGACAATTTCTTAGACATATACTTACACCTCATTGTTACTTATTGCAGAAACCTATGATGGGAAGGCCAATCCACAGGAGATCACCATTCAAATGAAAGGGTTAAAACTAAAGTACAACCACGGGGTCGTTGTGTCTAATGGCAGCGAGATATTCGTGACTAATTACTTCAAGAAACGAATCCACGTCTACAGCATGAATGGGACCCAGACCCGCGTCTTCAAAACGACAGTGCCGAGTAAAACTGGCAAAACGACATCAATGCTCCCCTGCGATCTCGCTGACGATGGACAGGGTCATCTGTGGGTCCTCGGCAAGACCAGGAATTCTTACGATAGTCCCGGACATGCAGTACAATACAGCCTGTTGGGTGGCGTACCAGTGAGAAAGTTTAATGTAACAAACTTGGGTAACTGGCCTCACATCGCCGTGGACGTTCGTGATAACAAACTCATCGTGGTCAAATACAACGTCATCATGATGTTCCACCCAAACGGCTCCCTCTATCGGAGTTTTCGGGAAGAACCGGAACTCAAATACGTGACGTCAGACAAAGATGGGAACATCGTCGTTACGACTCTGTCGCACTATGTCCACGTGTACAATCACACCGGGAAGCTCTTACTCAAATTTGGAGGCCGCGGAAAAGAACTTGGCAAACTGCGCTACCCTGAAGGCATTTGTACGGACACGTCGGGCCGCATCATCGTCGCGAGCTGGGGAAGCGGGCGGGTGGACATGTCACAAGCCGCGGGAGTTCATCCGAACACTCGTTAACCTAAACAGCCCGAGGGCATCGCCGTGGGACCGGCTGGACAGTTGGTGGTGACAACCTCGGGCATCAACACTGTCAACATTTTTACACGCAAGATAACATCTCCCTAAAGTTTAATTCTTTATGTATACATATATTTTTATTTGTATGTATTTTCACACACATTTAACGAGTACCAGGCAAAAAGCACAATTGCCTAAAGTTTTAAATGCTGCGAAAGCTCTCTTCTTCTTTTTCTTGAAAATGGTGTATAAACGTCAAAACTCTCATGCATATGATTACACCGGGTATCATAAGACTACTACATCAAAGCGAATGACGAATTCAAAGAAATCTACTACTGCAGAATCAGTAACCAATGAGGTATAGACATTTCATACATCCATATGTTCAAGACATCTGACGAAATATACTAGTAGCCTCGATGATATCGACAGTTTCAGGATACCCGGTGGAATTGTGAAAGTTGACGTATTAACATCAGAGTACGCAAAGAATGTACCAGTATTTCTTCAGATTTTTCAGATTAGACCGTGTTGGATTTTAGAATGAAGGAGTAGGATTGTAAATGAGATGCACTAATTACCTTCGCCAAGAAGGTTATGTTTTCAGAGGTGTTCGTGTATGTGTGTGTGTGTGTGTGTGTCTGTCTGTCTGTCTGTCTGTCTGTCAACACGATAACTTGAGAAGGCCTTGATGGATTGTCTTGATACTTGGTAGGTGGGTAGGTCTTGATGAGACCTCAAAAATGATTAGATTTTGGACCCCCTAGCGGCTTGTTATGGTACTGCAGCTGAACTTCCGGTTTTGATATCTCATGATCTAGACATGGTATGGTGATGAAATTTGGGTGGAAGGTAGCTCTTGTGCTGGGGAAGAAGTGACGTGAGTTTGGGCCCCCTAGCGGCTTGCTCTGGAACTGCGGGATATATTCTTGAAAATATTCAAAAGAGGATAACTCAATAACCGGTTGACGGATCGTCGTGATTTTTGGTATGTAGGTAGCTTACGTGATGCTTAATATAATTATGTGACAATTATGCAAATATGGATGTAATTTGCATAATTTATGGGGAAATTCTATAAATCAGCTGCATTCCATAATAAGACAATTGAAGCTTGTGACATTGGTAATTGACAACGAGAGAAACACAGGCAGATATTGATTATGTTAATAATGACTTAATTTGCATAATTAATGAGAAAATTTTATAATTATGTAAGGATAACTGCCTGTAATTTCATACTTATGGTATTTGAAAGTTAAGTTGAGGTGAACATCATTAAACATAATTTATTCAAATCAGGACCTCATTTGCATAATTTATTAGGAAATACTAGAATGCCTTGTTTGTTTATATAAGACTGTCTTTTGGTTGAGATTATGATAAAATGATATAATTCATGAAAATTAGGTTCCTATTTCTTAAATCAGGGGGGAATAATCTAATCTATAATTTGTCAGTCATTTGGCGAAGGTATGAGATCGGGGAACTCTAGTTTGGATTGAATTTTTTTTGCATTAGTTGGATTGGAATTTATTAAACTGCATTTTTTAATTGTATAATAAGGAATATTGAACAATATCAAAGAAATTCTAGAAGATATCTTTTAGCTCGACTTTTGTTACGTAATCCTTACAAATGTTTTCAAGCTTGATGTTTTTCTCTTCAATATGCATTCCAAGACCAGAAGAAGAGCAGCACAGATGTATTATTATTGTTATCATTATTATCATTTACCCAAAAGGAGTTCAAATGTAGTGTATGTTATCACACTGCATATCTGTATGTTACCACACGGGAGTGTATGCTGTATTCTGTTGAACTTCAGGACGCTGCACGGAGGATAGGTACTGACATGTTTACGGCATATCATTCACTGCAAACACTGGTATCACCAGGTCAGCGTTGGGACGGGAGAGGGAAGTAAACAAAACTTCAGGCAAAGCTATCGAAAAGTAGTCACAAAGTCTTCACAAACAAAGTGACGGTCAAAAGTGACTGGAAGGCTATACCACCCACCTCTGTATATACATGTGTATAGTTGGTGTGTCTTGAAGTAGATGGCCTAGAGTTTTGGTGATGTTACGATAATCTGGATTGGAGAAGAGATCAGAGTTAGAAGGCGTTACCTGATTGGTTGGCTGTAGGAGAAGATTCAAACTATTGCCCAGTTTCCTGACCGTTATCAATTGGAAAATCCCACTGGGGAATTGAGGGTGTGTCGCTGGGCAATTACCGTAAATAATACATGTATTAAGTAGAGGTTGTGTGTTTTAAGCAGTCATTAGAAACAATTAACTCACTAGACTTCTCGTATCAAATGTCAGATCTACAATGTTACATGGTATCACTCACAAAGACGTCGACATGAAGACCAATAAATCTGTATGGACACCAAAAGTAGGTTCTTCAAAACATTTTGACTATATACAAAAGATGACAAAGAAGACTCTCTTTAAGTAATGTGTACAAACCTATAAGAGTCAGATGATATGGATATTTATGATTATTGATCGTACCTGTACAAACCTTTTCACTGATGTCACCCCTTTCAACTCCAATTAGCGAAATCATAACTCCTCCATGAGAGTTTTTATAAGTTGTCAGCTTTGGGACAGTTCGTCCAGTCGACGCCCATCCATATATAGCTAAGGTTCTGTAGTAAGAATGACAGTTTCTCTTCTTGGACCAAAGCATTGTTGAAAATGGTTGACTACGACAAAATCCTCCAACATGTGGGTGAGTTTGGGACTCACCAGAAGAAGATGTCTTTCTTGGTGTATCTGCCGGTGATGACGATGGGGATGCACACCATGGCCATGGTGTTCCTGGCGGCCACGCCGGCGCACCGCTGCAGGGCGCCCGAGGGAGACGTCCTGGCGGCCCGGTACAACTGGACCGAGCCCGAGAAGCTGAATGCGACCATCCCGTGGACGAAGGACGATGACGGGAATCTGGTGCGAAGCAGCTGTGAAAGGTGTGTGAGATCAATCTAGCAATCTTATGATAAGTAGTCTCGGAGGTGTTGAATTTGCTCATCGGTAATGCCGAAGTCACATTTCCAAACCGGGGCCCGGCCGGGCAGTCTTTTGGAGCGAAAAATATGGTATAAAAGACAACAGAGCACAAAAAAGTTGACAAAAGTAATAATGGATCTATTTGCATACTTTCTTGACATTTTTTTTCTATTTTTTTCGTCAATCGAAACAGCCCGGCCGGGCCCCGGTTTGGAAATGTGACTTCAGCATAAGTACAAATACAAAGCGAGTTTATAGATCCTGAAATGATGATGTTAGGACATGAGAACTGTCCATGATATAACAACGTAGATGCTCTTTCAAATCTTGTGTTATATGAGAATTGCAGTTCCTTTTCTGTACAACCTGTCGGAAAGGAAACATTGCGTATTTGAGCTGGATATCGATGGAAGTTTTTAGGTTTGAATACTATTTTCATGGCATCAAAATACTCCAAACTTGATAGATCTCGGATTTATCATTTCTAAATGATATTTCAATGATCTCTAGTGTCTTCCAATGATCTCCCCAATTTGATAGTTCAAACCACGTCTCTTTTGAAGCTTCAAGTTTATTTTGGAGTTGATTTGCATGCCAATGTTCATTTTTAACGGTATTTCTCAGTGAAAAGGCTACTTCTAGGCACTCAGCGAGGTAGGTACAACTATGTACATGTATGACTATGACTATGCCATAAGATGGTCATCGGGAGGTCTTGTTGGACAGTTGTTTGAAAAGCGCAATTTGTAGAACATCGTCCTGTAAAATCCAAAGCCACGCCTTAGAGCACGTATTAAAAGCTTCCATACTCAAAGTACCCGTCTCACACCAGTTTATCACTTGTACTGCCTAAGTGGCCTACGTGTAACCTTTCCATCAGCGGTACTTCAACGGTGATAGCATCGGTTTAACGAAGTTTGTATCAGTGTTGTAACATGTTCTGCATTTAATGAACAATCTGATGCAGGAGATATGTTATCCTTTAGTGGTCATTTTGTTACAGCTTAGATGTTATCAAGAAGAGAAAACAAAATACATTTTTTAAGCAAAGTACAGGGTGCATTGCTCATAGTCTTGTAATCAAAACACCAGGCCCTGTTTTTGCATATTGATGCTTTCCAGATACATGTTTTTCCAATATTTCCCTCTGAGAGTGAGAACATGGTCTCTGTTTTACCATGCTGACAGCCATGCCATTAGTTTATCGGGTCTATTAGCCGGGTCTCTTCGGTACTGTTATCAAGCTGTAAACTCTCTTGGCCCGGCGAAATTCCCAGGGGAAGGCTCTGCGGTGTAAGCGGCCTATGGTTCTTTGACAGCCGAGGAGCTTGGGGCGTAGGCTCGCTAAACAGGCTAGGCAATACATTGGGCGGGTCAAAAGATGGTAATGACTGTACGTATACGTACGCATCAACACTGTTTGAGAAAGCGACTTTCTGATTAGATGAAACAACCTGGGTACAAGACTGACCTATTTCCGGGCAAGGGATGGCAATCAGTGGGGCCAATTAGATGTTTTACAACATAATTAGCTAATGGAGCTGTCATAAATGCACGTTCTACTTTTTAATTCATCAGCGGCATTATCTCGGCGTAATCGATAATTGATGACTCAATGTCTGGGCACAAGAGTGGCCTACTTCCGGTAACAGGAACTTCCGGGCTTCCTTAGCTCGATTTGAAAGAAAGTTGATGCCAACTTGTGATCTAGAACCAGTTTAGCTCAAATGAACTCAACGAGAAGTTCATCTAAGTTAAGCTAATCCTCCACTAGTCATGATTACGACAGAGAAAACAGACGCTATGTACAGTAAGTTACAGGCCCATTTGCACTGAGGAAATCCCCCTCTTTTCGACAATTAATTAAAACTCGTCCTAAGGACTGCGATAAAATCTTTCTGTTCTTTACTCAAGTTAGATTTCTTTTCCAACACAAAAATTGCAGACTGCAAGGGTGGCCACCACCAGAAATGCGCCAGAAACAAAGTCACTAGAGCTCTATACACAAACACACTGAGAATTCAAGCCGTCTTCATATACATGTTTGATACAGGTACGATTTGTCTGCGCTTCCTTCCAATGGCAATCTGAACGGCACATTGGAAGTTCTCTCGTCGAACCTGACCACGAAGTCGTGCGATGTCGGCTGGCATTACGACCGGAGCCAGTACAAATCCAGTATCACGATGGAGGTATGTCTTATTCAGATATACACTTGTACAATGACAACTCTTCTGGGAAGGCAACGAAACGGTTGGCGCAGGTGACGAACGTTGTCGTTGTGGGCCATCGTACTTCTAAAAGCAGATATATTTGATTCATGTATTTGACACATATATAACTTCTAAGTAGTACTATAAACTCTTTATTTTAGAAACTTATTTGTGGGGCGTATCTGAGCTTCTTATTAACCCACCCTAAGCTTAAGTATCTCTAAACTGATACTGTTGTTATGACATGATAATTTTGTTTTCTTTGTAGATTTTAACAGTTTTATCATCAATTGCATGCATGTAGCTCAATTGTCAGCCCAGAAAATATGAAAAAGGCTAAAAGGGTTGCATAACTGACACAAATAAAAGGTGATCTGCTTTGATTGATTTTATAGTAGCCGTCTCGCCATTTATTACATTATAGAGCCATTGCCTGACCTTCTGATGATCTTAATTGGTTATTATTGATTAATTAGCATTGTCCAAATACTAGGACATGTGAATTGGATTAATAACCAATAAGCAGGCGTCTAGAGAAGTATCACAGCAGTTAAGCTTTTACTTTCTGATAGATAATGTCATTACTACGCTTTTTTTGCCATTAATTGTCCAATGAATGTTGTATGATATAATATACCGTAAGTTTGCGTTTCGGCCTGGGGCATCTGGGTGAAAGGATTCACCACACAACAAAAGTGTTTAATAGGGATGCCAGATTATGTCGGATATACACCATTAGTCTTTCGGGTGGGGTTCACTGCTTATCGTTTTTAAAGTATCGTTTTGAAAAAAGTGAAGAAAACGTACTGAAAATGGCTCAATCGTATATTATGTTACCAGAGTGATATTGTCTGCGGGAACAAGTGGTTGGCCAAAATGGCGCAGTCCATCTACATGGTGGGGTTCCTGGTGGGGTCCCTCGCTTTCGGAGACATTTCAGATCGGTAAGATTTTCTTTAAGATATGATGTGTTTTCTTAGCTGACAAGTGTTGTATTTTAGAAATTGGTACATGCAAGGACATTATCTATATAATGTCCTTGGTACATGGAAGTTGTCTGGGGGGGGGGGTGCAAGGAGCCTCCTTTACCTCCTGGACGGAAGTACTAATATTGTTTTGGGTGGCACTAATTTATGTATGTATGTTTGGATTCGGAAGAAGTGTATAAAACATGTAACTTTGTTTACTAGAGGAATAAGTTTCATCAGACAATCGTATGAGTAATGGTGTATTCTTAAGGGGGGGTTCTCAAAACGCGAACTATATCTACTTCTCGGAAGTTTAATTTGAAATCTCTGTTTTTTGTTTGTTTCAGAGTCGGTAGGAAGATCGTGTACTTCGGTACGGTGGCCCTGCAGTGTTTCTGCGGCATCGCGTGCTCCTTCGCGCATAACTACATCGCCTTCGTGGTGCTGCGGTTCTTCATCGGCGCCGCCGGGGTCGGGGCATACGTCACCGGCTTCGTTCTCGGTAATTTCCGTTAAATAACGTCATGTTCGGAATCCGAATGACAGTCTGAGATATGCTCACTGGGCAAATGACGTTGCATGCAATGCAGAGTACGCAAAGATCGGGTCTTCTGTGGTATTGTTGCTATTGGCATTAGTACCGAAGTAACGGGTTCTATTTGTCGTTTTTCATATTACAGAACCTTCGCTGCTTGCTTGATATAAAAGATCCATAAAGGGGTATCGAGATGCTGTCTAACTCTTTACTCATTTCGAGGTCATAGCGGCAGCAAATTATGAGCGGTAAAATTACTTAAGTAATAACTCTCTTTTTTTGACGATGCCCACAGTGTCAGAAGTTGTAGGAACGTCCAAGCGAACATTGGTGGGTACGTTGGAGTATGTGTTCTTCGTGCTGGGGTACGTTATCATGGGCGGGATAGCCTACTTCGTCCGCACCTGGAACATGCTACAACTCATCATCTCTCTACCTGGTGTGGTCTGGCTACCACTGTGGTTGTAAGTACACATAGCTTTTGTGTGTCACTCTTTCTGTGTCTCTCATTCTCCGTGTATGATACGAAGGACCATTGGTACAAAGACTGTGCTCTGCGAAGGGAATATGTAGAACATAGTACAACTTTTGTACTAATGGTCCTTCGTAGTATGAGGAGGAGGTTTACCATTACGACTCTACGACTGCACGTGCCCAGTCTCAAAGATGAAGGAACCTAGCTAGAGACGTAAAGAAACACGTCTGTACCACTGGTGTCTGTACCGTATACGTGATAAAGCATGGTACTGGGAACGCGCAATCATAAGTCTCCAAGTCTCTAAAAAAACTCCTCATATGCGGCGCCAAACTCTTTCAATATGCCATTTCGCAAATTTTGGCAAGCTTCACCTAAGAGACCTTTGGCAAATTCCTCACTATGGCAATACACTGTTAACATCTGTACCTTCAGCTTGGTGACCGAGTCTCCAAGATGGCTGCTGGCCAAGGGTCGAACGGAGGAGGCGCGCGGAATTGTGGAGAAGATGGCTGAACAGAACGGAGTGGACTTTCCCGAGGCCTTGTGGAATGATATGCTGAAAGAAGAGGTGATTATGACCAGACAAAATATCACTCCGCTTACATTACGTTAACCACGAGCTATTGCAATGTTAAGTTTAAGCGATTCTTTCACATGCGAGAAACATACTTTCTTGAACGATACAGTAGAACGATGCTGCTTCCAACAACATACCTTCATTGAACGGGGGACAAAACCGACGTGAGTCGGGGGCCGACACGGACTTTCAATTCAGTATCTGAATGGCAAAAAACTCTGTAACACAAAATAATGGCAATGTTAGTCTTCACAATTAGCAAGATAATACTTTCTTGGTAGCTGAGCAGATGTGCTTGATGACTTCTACTCAAATAGATATCCATTCTGATGTTCTTGGTTTTATCATTTAGGATGAGCCGGAAGAGCAAGAGCAGAAAAAGCCAGACTACTTGTACTCAGTACTCGACCTTGTGCGTACTGCCAACATGGCCAAGAAATCTCTCATCATCTTCATCAACTGGTAGGAAAATAAAATATTCAAGTGTCAACATTTGCCATTGACTTAAAGATGCGTCTTTTCTATAGACTTCCGGGATGTTTCAGTGCAGTCCTCCACTTCCTGAATTCCCCCATTCCTGCTGGTTTGTGCATTATCTGTCCGCTATTCGTATTCTAAAGTTCTTATAATGCTATGTACATTACACCACAGGGCTGTCATCACCATGGTCTACTACGGCCTTTCTCTCAACACCTCGAGTCTGGGAGGAGATGATTACATCAACTTTACCGTGTCCGGATTGGTGGAGTTTCCCGCGCTGGCCGTGTCCATGTTGCTGGTAGAGAAGTGGGGCAGGCGGCCGTCTCACTGCCTGTTCATGATTGGAGGAGGCCTGGCTTGTATCTCTGTCCTCTTCGTGCCGAAAGGTGAAATATAGTATAGTCCATATAGGACACTCTAAAGAGAGAATAAACAGGGAATGAATGAATGAATGAATGAATGAATGAAGTGAGGAAGGAAGATATTAAGAAGGAAGGAAGGAAGGAAGGAGGGAGGGAGGGAGGGAAAGGATGCAAGGATCGATATGAAATAACGAGTTGTACCTTCTTTTTGTCCACAGATTTGTCCATTGTTGCGACTGTTCTCGCCATGGTGGGGAAATTTGGCATCTCTGGCAGTTTCAATGTGATCTACATCTGGTCTGGGGAGCTCTATCCTACTGTCATCAGGTGAAGAACCCATTAGTGATACTAGTATCTATATAGCACTTATAGGAAATATCAGCATGTAAAGATCTGTGTTTGTAGTTAACATAAGTTACTCGCAAAGGAAGCTGTATTCACAGACAGCTGAAAGTTCTTCTTTAGACTCCAGCTCAGTTCTGGACTGTCAGAACGCAGTTCGGCTCTTCACTTATGGTGATTGTTACATAGTCGTAAGCGGGAATCTAGCTCTGAAAAAAATAGCATGTTTTCGCGACGTTCACGCTTGACTTTTTTTTTCTTCTGAAGAAACCTCGGCATGGGCGTGGCGTCCATGTGGGCCCGTATCGGCGGGATCGTGTCCCCGTTCATCGCCCTCTCCATGGACGTCTGGGGTCCCCTACCCTACATCATCTTCGGCGGGCTGTCCGTGGTGGCAGGCGTCCTGTGCCTCATTCTCCCGGAGACGCTCAACTTTCCTCTGGCTCAGACCCTGGAAGAAGCCGAGGCCTTCGGAAAGTGAGTTACTGTCTTTATGTAAGTTTAACAACAACATAAAAGTATGAGCCAATATCAGCAGCAATTTGGAACTGAAAAAAATGGGTAAGGTGGTGAAGTCTGCCATCTCTTATATATTATTGCCTTCGTTTTTGTCATCTAGGGAACTAGTAGGTTTGTTCGTGTGTTACATTTTCTTACAATCCTTTAGTGATTTGAGCCTTTTTTTTACTTTTCGTGCCTAATCTTCCAGGGGTGGTTCGGTGTGTTGCCCGCCGTCGTCTGCCTACAGCCCAGAGGATGCCGGGACGGCTCACGAGATGGTCCAAGCCGTGTCTAACAATGAACCTCCCCGCCAAGATGAGGCAGACAACAACGCGCAAAATGAACAAGCAATGGTCTAGGGAGTACTGTACTGAATCTATGTGTGATAGTTAGCTTGCAGTCACGTGACTATGACGTAATTCGTGTACGCCATATTGGTTGATGATTAAACCAAACTTTCTTTCATCATATATCAAGCATGACGTGAGCTCAGACCCATGCGTGACGTAGACCCATGCTTTGATGACGTTAAAGTGTCGAATATAACGGAACAATATAGAGGTAGTGGTATCTACCGTGAGTGTTTTTATGCAAGCACAAGGGACCGACAAGCAGTATATATATGAATCGGCTGACAACTAAAACGTCTCTACAGTAGCGAATCTGTCAGTACTGTATTGTAAGTAGAATAGGAATGTGTTTTGCGTAGACTGGCTCTTCATATATCGACCTGGTGTTTATTACATACACTAAACTTAATGTAGAAAGCGAGGAGTGGAAACTGTGCTACAATTAATAGTATCATTCTCGACAACATGTACTTGGCCCGTTGGGGCAATAAAGGTCTTAGTTCATAATTCATTCGTTCATTTATTCACCCATTCATTCATTGACTGGGTCAAGAGATTACAATTCGCCAACGTGCATAGCGTTGCCACCACTTACTAGTATATCAAATTCCAAGCAGACGTTGGGAGCGAAAGGAAGATTGAAGCGATTTGTCCAAAAATGTGACTAATCGTCCGTCCCAATGACAGCTTGGAGAATTATCATCACGTATGTCAAGCACTTAAAATCGTGGATAGTATTTGGGGAAGCGGTGGTGAAAAACGTGGCGGTTTCGCATACTAGATCATACTATTAAGGGACATGTTTCTGTGTGGTATGGAAATAAGTGCAGTAGCTGATAAAAGATCATCATGGTCATGCGATCATCAAGCGGAAATATGCCACAAATTGGGTCACGATAAATGTCAATTATTCAAAGCCTCTGTTATTCGGGATAGTCTTTTCGATGCCATTTTCACCTAGCCTCTACCAGTTCGGGTGCAGCAAACAGTTCTCTCTACCGGACCAACTCCCCTGGCATGTTATCTCTATATTTGGCCGATTCTTCCAGCCGCCTCCCGAAGCCTGGTAGAGGCTACTTTTCTCCTACCAAGGGCATTATGTATATACAAGGAGCTTTGAATTCATTTTAACCTCCTTGATATACACGATCGTACGGCATACAAACCTGGGCAAGAATGCGGTGTGATACAGGATAACCCTCTATTCAAGTTAGAATTTATCAAAGTCTCGATTATATCAATACCAAACTTTGTCCGGTCAGGATTTAGACGTGAAGGGACTGCACCGTTGAGACGACCCCCTCCTCGTTTAGAGGACAAGGTGCACGTGATTACGCAAGAGGGGTAACTTGACACTTTGGCAACAGGAAATAGGGACAAACAATTACCGATAAACAGGGGAGAGAAATCTGCAGTATTGATTCATTTATTCTGTAACAAGAAATCTGGAGAGACTTCAGACAATCTTTGAAACAATATCCGTATCCACCCCAACCCAAAAAGGGCATAGAGGTGGTTGAGAAGGTTCTCGAAACATACGAATCCCTTTAAGTTAAAAACTGCCGTCTCCCCTACCTATGAACTGGGCGACCCTTAACGTGACCTTTCAAAAAGTCTCAAGGACAAGAAGAGTCCCGTTACCAGTTAAAGAGGCCAGCTCAGAGGGTTCAGACTGAGAAGCCAAGTCAGTTTCCAACATGGTGCACTACGACACGGTCCTCAAACATGTTGGCGAATTCGGGACGTATCAGAAGAGGATGTGTTTCTTCGTCTTCCTGCCGAGTTTGTCGGTGGGGATGCATATGATGGCCATGGTGTTCCTGGCGGCCACGCCGGCGCACCGCTGCAGGGCGCCCGAGGGAGACGTCCTGGCGGCCCGGTACAACTGGACCGAGCCCGAGAAGCTGAACATGACCATCCCGTGGACCAAGGACGACGACGGGAGAGCAGTTCTACACAGCTGTAAAAGGTTTGTAGTTGATTTGTTTTGTTTTTTCTGACGCCACTGCGAACTTCCCTAAAAATCACTGTCCGTAGCATCTTCGTAACCTCCAAGCAGATGTTGGGATGGGGGATCGTAGGATCTAGATTTCTTCTCCGTTTTTCTGACACGCAATGATTCCTTTTTTTTTAAATTCTTTAGGATGTTTTTTATCAGTAAAACAGAACAACTGGAAAATTTTATAACGACATCGAATCGATGCACATAACGGTCTCTTACTGGACACTGTAGTGAGTATCGGTAGAACTAGGGTTACTTGTGTCAATTTGATATGCACATGCTTCAGTGAGCACATAGTTCTCAGTGACCAAGGGCCCGCCTTCAGGTCACTTATTGGAGGTTTGAATGATTTCCAAGTAGACGGTTTGTTTTGTGCGTCTTTTAGATACGTTTCGTAGGCATTTCAAGGGTCGCATTCTTTACAATAGAAAGACATACAAAACGCTGCAACTTTACAATAAGTTGAAGACGCTTTAAAATCTTCTTGAACGAAAAACATCATCCTAGCTCGTCGCGAATTCGTAGCGTTGTTTACGTGTCACGCCTAAGTGAACCAAAAGAACAGCTCCGTGCTTACTGACAGAGTTCACTGACTAAAAACACAAGATCAAAGGGAACTGAAGGTTTGTATTAGCGTAACTCGGGACGCGCGGTCGGCGATCGCCTTACGTCGATGTCTCTCACGTTCCGGTTCAATTAAGGTCGCCGCCGATAGTAAGGTCCTTGGTCAGACATTCATAACATCAGACACAACCGTATTCAAGTATACTTGGTAATGCTGTGTTGTTACCACAAAGCTCCTTTGTGTTGTTGGATAATACCAACAGAACTAAGATCCTTTGAAACACATACAAAATTCCAAGGCCGTGCCAAAGTTTTAGCTGACACTGCAAATGCGATGAGACTTCACGGTAGCCTGGGTGCCAGACTGTTTCGAGGGCCAGAAAATCGGCTCCAGGGCGCGGCCAACACCATACCTCCAAGGAAATATTGCCACAGGAAACCTGCGTTAAACACTGAGCAAAATTTCTTATGGGGCATGTTGTCCCTGGAGCTGGCCTGCGTAGGCCCTGGAAACAGCCTGGCATCCAGGCTTAAGTGGCAGTCGAAAATGAGTTTAGTTTTCAGTTATTTTTTGCGTGGGAAAGAAGCTCAATTCTGTGACGACTACCAAGGGCCGTTACACCGTCCATTGTAAGAAGTACGGACCGTGTTCTTACGGTATGATACCATGAAAGGTACAATGAATCAGTGTTTTAGGTCACATAGACACTTTCCTTTGTGCTCGTTCCCCTACAGTTCTACTGTATACAAGTGTGTGCATTGCATGCTGATATGCACATCAAAAGGGACAGTACATTTTCTTTAATTCAGGGAGGGCCGGTCACTGCTTAGTTAAGACTTACCAGAGGATTGGGGGTCAAAATATTAAGATTTTGCTTGTCTTGTTATTACTCCGTGAAGGAGGGTACCACGGCAGTAACACTCGCGGTGCTGGCCGCATTATATCAGGACCTGCTTTCGGGCTAAGACGTTCATATCTGACGGAACCGCGTCTAGACGGCGGATTGTCAGACGGTGATGGCCTTGGCCGTTCCTAGGCCGTTCCTAGGCCGTTCCTAGGCCGTTCCTAGGCCGTTCCTAGGCCGTTCCTTGGCCGTTCCTAGGCCGTTCCTTGGCCGTTCCTAGTCCGTTCCTAGGCCGTTCCTAGGCCGTTCCTAGGCCGTTCCTTGGCCGTTCCTAGGCCGTTCCTAGGCCGTTCCTTGGGCCGCTCCTTGGCCGCTCCTAGGCCGCTCCTAGGCCGCTCCTAGGCCGCTCCTAGGCCGCTCCTAGGCCGCTCCTAGGCCGTTCCTAGGCCGTTCCTAGGCCGTTCCTAGGCCGTTCCTAGGCCGAGGGAATTTAGCCATCCAGTTTACAGTTTGCCGTTTACGTTTACAGTTTGCCGGCAAACTGTAAACTGGATGGCTAAACTCCCTCGGTGTGTTATCTCTCTATTTGGTCAATTTCTACTATTTCCAGCCGCGCCCTCAAGCCTGGTAGAGGCTAGGAGCGAGCGACAACACGCGCTGTCTATACGACAGGTCTGCAGTAGACAAGCTGACTCCATTGCCTATCCAACAAGATTATAGAACTTCGAACTTGAAGCACAGTATCTTTACACGCCCTGAGAGCAGTAATGGATTTAGGTCTTTTTATGTTTTATGGTTGTGATGCGCCCTCATTGTATTAACCGTTGCCTTATGTCTGCACAGTAGGTCTGGCGTTGACGCTTGGGATTATTTTTGTTGCAAAATATAAAACTTCACGGAGGATTGTCACCTATGGCTTCTTGTTCACGTTTCATTGAAACTTTGTCCCCAGGTATGATCTGACGACCGTCGAACTGAATAACAGCTACAGCAACCTGACCAATCACCGGGCTAGCTGGAACGTGACGTCATGCAATGCAGGATGGACGTTTGACCGGAGCCAATACAAAACCAGCATTACCATGGACGTATGTATCTCATAGTCTCGGAAAGGGGGTGTCATAGTCTCGAACAGGCTTCATGTCTGCTATAGCTAGTCTCGAAAAAAATCTGCTTGGGACTTACTACAATAATGACTGTTTCACTGTGTATAACCTGTGTGCTAGAGGGTTGTTATGGCATTTGCTGCCTTACATTAACATATTCAAAGAGCATCATGATCGCTTTCTCCACAGAACAATATCGTCTGTGCCGACAAGTGGCTGGCGAATTTGGCCCAGTCCATTTTCATGGTGGGGGTGCTCATAGGGTCAATCACATTCGGAGACCTTTCGGACAGGTAAGTTTACAAATGAAAAAAACAAACAAATAAAAGAAATTGTGAGGTTAATGAGGCTCACTAAACATAGGTCCATGTCTCTCTTCTGCAGAATGACTGACGCAAACTTGCCTTTAAATCTGCCCCTCCTCGGGCTTAATTTCGTCCAGTCCTTGAGTCACTCGTCCACAAAGTCACGTGTGCCAAGTAGTGGGTCAGTTACCATGAAGAAGGTTGTTATCAAAGACATTTCTCGCATTGATGCGTTTATAAACTGTTATAAAAGAACTTTATTGCACGACAATTGCACATAGCACACTGTATGGCAACAACTATTGAACAAAGTACACCAAAAAAGTTAATGTATGGATTATTTCTCTCAGGTTCGGCCGGAAAGTGGTCCTGTTCGCCGGCATCGCCCTGAACCTGGTGTCCGGGATCGCCACCATGTTCGCCCCGAACTTCACGGCCTTCGTCATCCTCAGACTGTTCGTCGGAGTGTCGTCCCTGGGCATCTACATCGTCAGTTTCGTGTTAGGTACAGCCGAAAAATAACTTAATTTATCGTTCTTTATTAATAACTTTTTTCTTGGCTGGGGCCAGAGGTTTGTAGAGTGGATGCCAGCCTTTCAGCTTTAGCATGCTCTCTTGGTCACTTTTCTGTCAAAAAAAAAAGACTAGAGGCCTGCACACATCCGTCTGTCATTTCAATATATCGTGTTCAGAAGTTGAATGCGTGCGCAGGTCATCACCAAACGGATAGAATACGTGTGGACCAGTCTTTTTGGAAAGGAAATGTACCAAATCTCAAAAGGCTGGCATTTTGGGGGTTAAGTTCATCGGGTTAATTCCTAATGCTGATGACCTGATGTTATTTTAATGCAGCGTGTGAGATTGTAGGCCCGTCCAGACGAACACTTGTCGGCACCGTGGACTACGTGTTCTTCGTGCTGGGCTATATGCTGGAGGCTGGGCTGGCGTACCTCATCCGGACATGGACTCACCTACAACTGGCCATCTCTCTACTCAGCGTCCTCTGGATACCACTGTGGTGGTAAGCAGTAAACTTTACTTTAGTTAACGTACAAATTTTTGGCGACGCCTCCGGGGCGGAGCCCTTTTCTGTCTGTATGTGACATTTTTGTTGTATTATTGTAAAAGATGTTACCGGTGCAATTTTGTGTGGATGAATGTATAAATACATAACAATGACTGTATTATCATCGAGTGACTTTGGTTAATCTGCCATGTCCTGTAGCGTCGTGACCGAGTCTCCAAGATGGCTGCTGGCGAAAGGTCGAACCGAGGAGGCGCGCGCCATTGTGGAGAAAATGGCGGAAATGAACGGCGTGGGATTTCCGTGTGCATTGTGGGAGAAAATGGCGGAATCCAAGGTAAAAAAGATTTAGAGAGAGAGAATTCTAGTATAGCAGCCACATGATCACGTGGTACATTGTTTAGCCAGTCAAAAGGCATCTCTAAAATGAAGCGAACTTGTTCTAAATTCCTAAACTACAGGATAAACTGGTGGAGACGCCTGACAATGGCCGGTTCTACTCCGTCCGGGACCTGGTACGGACTCCAAACTTGGCCCGGAAATCTGCCGTTATCTTCTACAACTGGTAGGATGCCAAACAAAAGAAAGAAAGTTTTTAACGATAGAACATACGACGTCGACTTAAATGTTAGGTTTGGATGACAAAAAAAAATTCACTTTCTGTCATGTGTTGTTTGCACATATGCACCTGAACAATTTAGTATCAAGACAAAATTGCAATAATTTCTAATCCGTGATCGATCATTTGTCCCCAAAATTGTACCAAACGAACCATTTTTTTTCAATTTCTTCCCAACTATCTCTTCCCTCCATAGGGGTGTTATCACCATGGTGTACTACGGGCTATCCCTCAACACCTCGGCGCTAGGCGGCGACGACTACATCAACTTCTTCCTGTCCGGTCTGGTCGAGTTTCCTGCCCTCCTCATGTCAATCGTCGTGATAGAGAAGTGGGGCAGACGATCTCCGCACATCATGTTCATGGTGGGAGGAGGCGTGGCCTGCATTTGTACGCTTTTCGTGCCAACAGGTACTGTTATACGCCTTCTGGAGAGGTAGTTCGGTGCTAGGGAGTTTTTAGTATTAATGGGTGGAAAGGGGCTGAGACATCAGAGCCCGCAAATCGTCACTCAACCGGGACAGGGGGCGATATAGACTTCCAAGAACATTTGTGTCATGTATTCACTGTCTAATTGGGACTCAATCATTCTGACGAAGGTCACAGGAAGTGGAAAATCGGGTTGATGTACTCCTTAATACGTCTTTTTGTCTGAGGTGTTTCAGTTGCGAAGTATCCAGGTTAAAGATAGAGTTGTTCTCTTCTCTTCAAACACAGATCTGTTTCCATTGACCATGACCCTGGCAATGATCGGCAAGTTTGGGATCTCTGCCAGCTTCAACATCATCTACATCTGGACGGGGGAAATCTACCCCACAGTTATCAGGTAAGCTCTACTTGCCCCAGTAGGATTTCAAAATCCAGCAAAATTCACACAAACACCCTTGTCCTTGGTGCTGAACAATCTTCACACATCATTCCCTGTCCTTGGTGCTGAACAACATTATGCCATGTAAGCAGTATTGTTATTGATAGTTATTTACTAGTTGATGTATCATTATCAACTGAAAAGAATGTATATTTGCTTACTGTTGAACAGGAATCTCGGCTTGGGGGTGTCGTCTATGTGGGCCCGAGTCGGTGGCATCATTTCCCCGTTTGTAGCCTTGCTGGCAGACTCGTGGAGGCCTCTCCCCTACATCGTGTTCGGAGGGCTGTCCGTGCTGGGCGGGGTTCTGTGCCTGCTGCTGCCGGAAACCCTGGGAACCCCCCTCCCACAGACCCTGCAGGAGGCAGAGGACTTTGGAAAGTAGGTTATGGAAAAGTTTTTAATATACTTTTCTTACAGTTTTCGCCCTTCGTTTCTTTAGAACATTTGCCAATACTCAAGGCATATACATGTATAAATATACAGATTTATAATGATACATTTGACAAAAAAGTGCCCTGACTATACATCATGGCAAACCAACTTTCTCTCCGGGACGGGGGACGGTACCAACTTCCGACGAACTTTGACCCAGAGCTGATGCCTCACGTGGGTACAAATACAGCATTTGGAGAGAAAGCTGATGAAGACCGTACGTTTCAGTCGAAAATTCCGAGGTAATTTCCTTCAGTTGGAGAACAGTTTACCGACTCAGATGAACTTCCATGCAAATGTACCTTTTACCTGTCATATTTTAGGGGAGGTTCATTACTGTGCCCGGTGGGAGGACGTAAGAAGCCCGAGGACAGTAAAGAGCTCGCTGCAGAGGCAGACCTCCATGACACATCGCCGACAGTGGACGATCCAAGTGACGTGACCAACCCAAGCTTTTATCTCAGCTTTGAGACGGGACTTTAACATTTTATTATTTGAAGTAATGAATTTTAGTGTTCAATATCGCTGTAACATTATGTGTCATCTCAGTACATAGTTTACAAGAGACTAAGAATCAACACTCCTAATGTGTGGCAATAATGTCTTAAAGCATGACATATCTAGTACAAATTACAGTTTTTACATCTCTCTCTGCCTCCTTTTTGCTTTTTAAAGTACTTAAAGAAAGCTTACTCACCATTTTTATCAGTATCCACCATCTTGGTTTTACTCATTTGCATGCTAATGCAAAAATGGTGGATGCAAATGAGGTAACACCAAGATGGCGGACACTAACAATGAGGACATTGAGTGTGTCTATATCAAAATATTCAAATCCACCGACTAACTTGCAATGTAATGACAACTGCATTTTGTTGCTGACTTTAATTTTCCACAGCTGATGCAATGTGTACAACTTTATCAGCTATCCTCTCCTAGCTAGGCACTTTGCTATAATATAACTTTATATCTTACTACTGTCATGTCTTTTATTGAAATGAAATATGGATTATGTTACAAACTGTGTGAAATCATAAGGTTTTCTTTATATTTTTTCAGGCAAAAGTTGCGGTAAACTATGACTAAATGTCAGTCTTTCTTCTAAGGTATAATAAAATACCAGCTTTGAATAAATAATGTAAAATCTACATGTGGCTGCAAGGGGACAAATGAATATAACTTAATATCTGAAGCTTAACTGTGACTGTAGTAAGTATTCCGTAATAGTGTTAAAAATATTACTATTAAAATGCAACCTGGTATTCTACACAAATGTTTGATGTTAAAATCATTCATTGTTACCATTCAGCTTCAAATTCAGACTTTGCTTCTATTCCCTACACTGGCTCCATAATTGCACAAAACGAATATTGGCATCAAGATATGTTAGATACAAAGTTGGAAGAAAGGGTAGAAAAGTAAGAAATATTTACAAAGTATGTACACATTATTGCTATTTGCATGTAAAATGTATATTGCGTCTCTTCATAGTGAAAGAAAGTAACTATTTCTCCCCATTCTGATTTGCTATAAAAAGTAACGAAACTTTCTGCTCAGAAGTAAAGCAGTGTTTAAAAGAGACACAATCCAGTGTGTGAAAGGTAACTTTTAGCTGCCAGTTCTCATTTGCATCAAACCCTGTACAACATACTGTTACTAAATAGGCACATGGCCTTGGTGCAATCTACTATACCCTACAGAGTGTGCACTGAATAAAGTTACAACTCTGTAACAATTTCGATATCCCTATGTTCACAATTTTCATTATTTTTGTCACATCTGAATCCAACATGACTGAGTGCCTTGAAAACTGAGAATACAATACAGTGGTCTTCAGCTGATAGTGTTTTTCAAGTTGATAAATAAAATTTGCTGAGAAAAAGTTACGGGTGATGTTAATAAATGCATGGAGAATAAAAAGAATATCATACACATTTTGGCAACAAAAAAATATCCATGCAGTATCTCAAACAGAATGTTAATAGAATCTCAAAGTGCAAAATAACAAGAAGTATGTTCTAGCGGGCCCTCAGCGTCATTTAACAACTTGAAATCTTTTTAGGTGCATATCTATCATAGAAAAATAACATTGTTTTATATCATTTAGGGCATAAAAACAAACATTGTGGGTTAAAATTCAATATACAGGATGTTAATAACCGAAGAAAAGTCAGGTATGACAATTATTTACATATCTTCAAAACTAAAAATGTCCCAAGAATCCCAGCTGGAATATTCCATTGTTCTAGGGGGGAGTTTTGAGACAGCTATGTGTCCATGTCTGCATTGTATCTCTCTATGTACGACTTCTTTGGCACAGTGGAAGGTGAGAAGTGAACGTGGTGATCTTTGATGACGACTTTTCCGTTGGCTTTTCTGTGGTTGCCGTTTGTCTTTTTCCCGTTTGCGATGGGCTTGAAGCTGCCACTTGACGATGTGGAGGACCTTGAGGACCTGGATGACCTTGAGCTGGGTCCGTTTGGCTTGTAGCTGTACCCGCTCTTGACTGAACCATTCATAGCTGAGATGTGGGGGTTTTCTCTCTGGGATCTCCTTTTCATTCGAACACTGGAAAATACAACAGTAATTCTGAGTCATTTTAATCTTAAACAAAATGTGTATGATATGAAGATCAAGTGTGATATTGTATATATCAAAGTTTTTTTAATGTTGCAGTTTTGTAAGACTTACCAGGCAATGCCAATGACAATGACGAGAACAATGATGAGAGCAGATGTTGCAGCGATGGCTCCGTATACCCAGGTGTGCAGCTCACCTGGAACAAACAGTAATAAAATTAGGAAAGGTCGTAACATATAGAAAAGTTTAAGTCCTTTCCACACCATATGATGCATAGGACAGTGCCCATCTACATGTATGTTTCCTCAGTCATAAGGCCAAACATCTGTGCAAGCTGACAATTCAAAAAAGGCTAGTCCAATGGTAGCAGTTAATGTATCCAAACGCCCATTCTCTTCATATTCCTGTATATCACCATGTTAACATTTCCACTGAGAAAAGCCAATCAGATCTCCCCATGCACCTGCTGATCTTACCTTTCTCATTAACGAAGGAGAATCCCCTCCTCCCATTGGGTGAGCTCTCCACGTCACTGTTGACCCGTTTGGTTGGTGCCAGGGTGATTCGCCCGTTACTCCCGATCATTACTTTTGCACAGTAGTCCAGCAAACCATCCGAACTGAGGGCCTCCACATAACCCTGGGGAAAACATGTAAACAGTTTGTTTGTTTAGGATCTCCGTTAGTGCGAATTTTCACACTATACATGTTAGTTAAAATCCTTCCTGCCCTCAGTGTATAGGGCAGTGCCCATCTCCATTCTATAACCCTTGAGCCACACAGTAGTGCAATTTCAACATCAGGGGGCTAGTCCACTGATAGTGTTGTGTGTTTTAACTACCATTGTCTTTCTCCACACTAAGTAGAGAAAGCAGTATGTACTGTACCCTAAGTCTTTGGTATGACCACAGTTTTGCTGCCAAATGCAAAGCAAGCACTGTACCAACTAGACTTTCTCGTCACGCCAACTTCCACCATTCTTGGACGTCTTCCAGTAAAAATCAGGTAAGATTTAAACATGAAGGGGCATTTGCAGCACTGACCTCTTCACAGCCACAGATGCCTCCCTGCTTACAGAAGGAGTGTGGCTGGTTACACTCCGGTATACACAACCGCCTGGTGGCTGGTCTGGACTGGTCTGTACAGCCACCTACAAACAGGCAAAAAACAACAGACATTTGGTACATATACATGCGTCTCTAACACACAGGGCCCAAAATACTTTAATTCTGTTTTCTGCAGTGTGTCATTAAACTTTTGAAAAAGGCAAGAAACATTGTAGGTCTATAGTTGCACAACTGCATTATTTTGTATTATGAGGGAAGCCATCATCATCAATTTGGAGCAAATGTAGTTACGTTAGACGTGACCTCTCACCTGTGACATTGACCCCATCTGACCTTTGACACCACACCTTCCTCTCATCACCTTGCCACCGGCCAACCTTCCACTCAAAGAGGTAGCAAGACCCGTCTACGGACCCAGCAAGCACAGGAGAAAGAAGCATTACTAACAGCATCCATGATAATATTATGATAAGTTACAAAAGCCCACCAGCAGAGGCAATGTAATGGATGAAAGTGTTTGAAATCGAGATGTAGAAAGCAGGATCTATCTGTTTGTAGATTAGTTCTTTTAGGAAGGTGACAACAAGTCCACAGTAGTCAGTGTAGGCTTAAACTAAGGACAGCACAGTTCCCAAACACCAGTTATTGCAAATCATAACCCTTGTGGTACTAGCCAACTGCTACCCAGCCAGCAGCTGTATAATCAAATACTGGATATTTCAACTACATTTTGTAGAAAGCCATCAGATATTATACACAATATGTAACTTCTACCTGTACACGTCCTTGTCTCATACACATCAGAAGGACAGGAGTTCCCACCAGATGATGGCTGGGCCAGGATTGCTCGGGACCGGGTCTCAATGCCTGAAGTACCTGGATTATAACATACACGGCACAATGATCTATCAGTACAATAATACTTAACAGTAACAGTAATCTAAAACAGTTTAAACATGGCTCAAAGGTTTTTAGATTCCTCACAGATTCTCGCACAATCAAATTTATCTCCAACTTCTCTCCTTCCCATTTCTACTGAATCACCCCTTCACACCCCCATCTCTATCACTACTTACTCTCCCCTTTACACACCCCACCCCTATCATTACTGACTCTCCCCTTCACACCCCCACCCCACCCCTATCTTTACTGACTCTCCCCTGACCTTGTGGCTGGCCGTTGACACAGCTCTGATGACAGGAGCTCCACGACGACCACTCTGTTACCCAGCAGTCACCGGGGCAGGGGACAACACATGGCCGCTCTCGCTGAACAAATGAAAAAATGCAACAAAAGTTTAAAGTAATTGTACAAGATTTTTGCTTTTGATTTTGTTGCTACTTCTGAATCAGATGCAGCCACGAATTCAAAGATATCACAACATCATGATTTTCACTGCAAAATAAAGTAACTAACCAGTATGACAGCAGTGGAGAGGATGTCACTGTTGGGGCCATCTTTCCACACACACAGATCATCCTCCACAACTGTCCCATCCTCCTGTACACAGCTGATGTCACGTACACGTCTGCCATGGCCACACTCCGCACCCTACAAACAACACAAGACAATCAGAAATGGCAGACTGCATCACCTTACTCACACTGCTTTTACCCCTTCTGGACAGCACTGAGGAAGTATGACAATTCTGCATTGTGTACATAGATAACTGCAAAAATGCAGAATATTGTACTGTACATGTATTTTGGTGAAGGAAATTTGCAGAAAGTAATGAACTGTTTTCCTTGGTTGTTAGACAGTAAAAAGTAAAAAATACAGCATGAGGCTTTAATATATGAGAGGGCTTGAAGTAAAACCTGAATCTGACTATGTAAAGTTAATATCCAAGACTTAAACAATCTGCGAACATGACAAAACAAATGTCACATCAATATCAGGGTCTGCAAACCCAGAAAAACGCAAAATACATGTATCTAAATACAAAATATTCATAGATGTATCTGTGACGTTAACTAGCATAACTGACATACTGAACACTCACATCAAGTAAACACTTGGACCAGAGTCCGTATGCCCAGGAGAAGCAGGGTTTGGCCACACACGGGCGCTGCTGGTGCAGGTTATCTGGGGGAGGGCACGGCCTGCCCTGTCCTGCAGACTCTGTCAGGATGTCCCGCTGTCGGAACTGCATCCCGTCAGCGCCGCAGGACGTTGTACAGGCGCTCCAGTCAGACCACGGGGACAGCTGACAGTCCAGCGGACACTTCACTTCACACGCTTCCTCTGTCACTGTGGGACCCACCGCGCCGTGCTGGGGTACAACATGGTTCATGGGTTAACTTTGAACACTGTAAATGGGTGAGTTACCTCTGAAAAATATCTAGCATTTGGATTTATTCTTCTGTCCTTTGTTTTTGATTCATAAAAATTCACAAACATTTGTTAATGATAGGAGGGCTTGAAAAAATTGACAGGAATGAAAGAAAAAAACAAGGTAAAATGGAATGATGCAGCCATTTTTGTGGCTGTCTATGGTAACTTAAGGCCCATATATTTTATTTTGGATACATGTACTTGAAAGTCATATTGATAAAAAGCTGTCAGTCAATACTAGTATATTCCTGGTCCTATATTGTACCTGTATACAGAGATCTTTATCCACCAGTTTGCCATCACCTCTGTAACACTGCACGAGTAATGTCCTGACACCCGGGCCGCACACGGCGCTGGCAGGCAGCTGACAGGGACTCCACTCTGATACGTTCAGATGGTACCTGTGGTCCCAGGAACAACCGTGTAATTATTACATCACACTAACTAGAAATATAACATTTGCAAAGCAAATGCATTACATTTACCATTGCATATGGTCTGCTATGTTTATTCTTACTCAAACACATTCATATTAAATAGTGACAGGAGTCCTAATCCCTCTTGCAATAAAATTGCAACATGATGTAACCCAACACTAGTTACCATGGTGACAGATGTCTGGGTCAGGTCATTGACCTTATTTGTTTGGAACAGAGTAAGAACAATTGTCCTTCATGTAATCAGTTTCAACTGCAAGCTTAAAACAGAAAAAAAACTCTTTTGTTCTTCTACCATAAAGATAAGTCTACTTCTAAAATGAATGAATTTCCAGGACTGACCTGAAACAGTTCCTGTTTTCCTGACAAGCCTCCTCCTCTGTCCTGTTTGGACAGGCACCATAGCCATCCTCTGCAGGGCGCTCAACCAATCGCATACGCTCTCGGGCGTGGCCGGGGACACAATACTGATGGTGAAAAACAATGGGAATTCAGTTTTGAAACTTTCAAAAAGAAGAACTTGGATGAAAACTCAAGTCAGTTAGCTTGATATATAACTAGAAATATTCCAATATCTATTCATGTCATTAGTCTACATTGTACAAATCTAGAAATGCCCAATTCCCCTATCCTACACAAAGTTAAAGCAATGCATTGCCATCAAGCGTCAGTGGACTCATTCATCACAGGGCCACTAGAGATACAGTTCTTCTGGCTGGTGGTAACTAAGTCTATCCATCTTCTAACCCTAACCCTAACCCTGACCCTAACCCTGACCCCTTACCCTAACCCTTACCCAAACCCCTAACTCTAACCCCAACCCTAACTCTAACCCTGACCCCTTACCCTAGCCCTGACCCCTTACCCTAACCCCAACCTCAACCCTAACCCCAACCCCAACCCTAACCCTTGACACAGGATAAACCACATACCTCAGGGCATTTGGTCCAAGAAGTCCACTCCCCGACCACACACTCCCCAGGGCAGGGCAGCGTGCAGAGTTTGGCACCCAGGGGCATGGTCTTCTCATCACACAGGCTGATATCTACAACCTGGGACCAGGATCGGGACACCTGAACGCACCTGAAACACACGAAGATCCCTCAACACACTTGGAACACATACATGTATAACACTGAAACATGCATGGAACAGGCATAGAACACCTTAACACACATAGATCATACATGGAAGACCTGAACTCACCTGCAGCTGGAACATGATAGAATCAGAGAAATGCTTTAATTTTAGTCTTAGTGTTCCAAAGTAAAATGGGACACCTGCCTGCACTTGAAACACTACAGTTGACACTGATCTCTTGATTTTCACCATGCAGCAAAACTTAACTGCCGAGAATGTTTAACGAATTCCTTTCTTTGTGTCTAATTTACAGTATGAACTCACTTGACTTTTCTTGTCTGCACGCCGTCCCCACAGTTAGACTGGGACCCCAGGCTGTAGAGGCTACAGCTGCTCCAGGACTCTGTCTCCCACTGGTACTCCCCACAACGCCTGCTGCAAGCCCGCCACTCTGTCACCTGGGAAACCACAGAAACCAACCGTCAGACTGGGAAAAACTCTTCTTCATCTTTTAAATTACCACCAAGGAAGCTACTTTTTGTTTTCACTTGCAACAGCTACATGTATCATGCTGGAACAATCTCTCATACAACTGTAAATTTTGCAGTGTTTTAAGTTGCGACTTTTTACAGTGAAATTATCACACAGTAAATATTTGTTCTGCCTTGCATTGTGTTAATTCAGTTGTTTTAAGCATGAACTCAAAATAAAATACTGTAAAGTCTTTGTTTTCACAATGACAAGAAATTTAAGTACTGTAACCTTTAAATAACAGTACTTTTGTGGGCTAAAGATCTAGACATTAACACACGATAACTGGGCAGAAACTTTCCAGATTTTTGCCTTTGTGGCATTTCTGCACTTTTTCAAAACACCGGTAAAACAAAATATTTACCAAGCAGGCCAAAAGCATGCTGTCATACATTGCATTTATACTACCGGTATTATAGGGACATTCATGAAGTTTTTTTAACACAATGATACTTACCTGTTGTCTTAAGGTACAAGAAAGCAGCAGAAATAAACACAGAGACAAAAGTGAATTTTGAATCAAGATATTTTGAGAAATGTTTTTAAGACTCATTCAACCACTAGCATTGAACTACATGCATTTATCGTCAACTTCACTCTCTGCAAATGGCAAATTGATCAGAAGAAAACTACATATTTAGACACAATACCTTTCCTGTTGTCCATATACAGTTAGCACAAGATATACATAAGAAGAAGCAAATATTAGTATAGAGACTGTATGAGTCTTGAAATTTGTTAAGTAAGTTGGCTGGATAAAATATTACCAATATCATTGTGGAATCTTCTATGAACAAGGGAACATGCACACGAAGCAATACTTTACTTGGGATTGATGTAAAAATATAATCACCATATTTGAAGAATCCAGAAGGGGACATAGTCTCCCCAGGTTGAAGGGTTTCTGTCGCAGCCATCTTTGTCGTGTGTTCTTCCCCGTGCCACACGATTGGCTACATGGTGTCCATGGCGACCAGTTGCTAAGACGACAGTCTGATGGACACACCTCTGTGCAAGATTCTTGTATATATCCTGAAACACATTGTTAGAGTTTAGAAATTAGATCAACAAGTTCCCTGTGCAACAAATACTTATACAAGTGAATTTGCTAGCTTTGTTAGTTTTAACCTTCTCCTTACTACCTAACTCTGTAACCAGTAGAGAATCGGTGTTCTGTGGCTACTACAGTGTTCTACTAGGTTAAGCAAATCAAATCAACTTTATTGCTCAACAACTGTAACTGGTACAATGTATGGCAAAGAAGAAACAACAAGGTTAGATACATGCACTATACTAAAGTATAATTCTCACAGAGCTAGTCCATAATGATACTAAAGCTAGATTCAGAAATGAATTTTCCAACGTACACTGATATCTGAGTAGGGCATGAAAGGAGCATGAAGAGGAAGCCTTACCAGATTTACTGCACAGGTACGGTGACACCAGCCTTCCTCTGTGATCAAAACACTGTACAGCCCTGTACCTCACCCCGTCACCGCATTCTCCCTTCCACTTCCTCTTCAGCCGAGCGCGGACGTTCAGGGGTCCGCTGGCCTCAGGGTCGGGGAGGATACAGTCGGACCAGTTCCCCACGGGGAAGGGGGTGTAGTCTGCTGACTTCTGGCAGGGGCAGGGCTCCGTCTCCACCAGGGGGTACTTGGACGTGTCCTGACACTCGGGCTGCTTCCTGCTCCGACCTGACAAACAAACATTGTTTCACATACAGTCAAACTTGAACAACCTCTGCAAAACTCTGAACCACTTGTTGTTGGTCCCTTAGACAATTTTCCTATTGACACAAGCATTTCAAATGTCTGTAGTGACCACTTGTCCACATAGACCAGATTTTATCGACCCCAGGTGGCCTTGAGCAGTTTTGTATTTTAACTCACAAAATACACAAGTTTAATCTACAAAGGCAATGGAACTGATCTTTTAGTCTAAAACGGCCACACATATCTATTTTCCTGATTCCTGGACATTTTCAAGTACAAACAGTGTCAGTCTGTCACTCCACAAAAGTCGATAGCTTTCCTTACCTGTCAGTTTCCTTTTCCTCTCTGTCTGTCCCTTGCAGTCCTCCCCACAGCGGCTCCACTTGGACCATTCTGACACGGAGCAGTCCTCCCCGCAGGCCAGCGTACAGTTGCGCGCCGTCTCCGGCATCGGGCCGGCAAACTGCAGGCACTTCCACACCACTGACGACTCTCCCTTCTCATCCTTACACGACAGGGCTGAAGGGAAGAAGAAGAACTTTATTGCATGCCAATTGTAACAGGTTACAACGTATGGTAAAGTTACATACATAGTTGGTGGACGCTAGTCCTATACAGGGAAGCACAACAGTTTAAACTATTTTGAGCTCTGTAAGTAAAGTCAAGTCACATGACTGTACCTCTGGTCTGGATGCCCCGGCCACACTCCTGCCTGCTGTTCTCGTTCCCGGGGTAGGGTGGCAGGTGACAGTCTCCCCAGCGGTAAGTTTTCCACTTGTAGGCCCCACACTGCTGCATGTTCTCACACAGACGGCGCTCCCGCAGGGTGTCGGGACAGTCCTTACCCCCCGGGGTGGGGAGCTGCAGGATGTAACGATGTCTGGTCTGGTGGGTGATTTCTGCGAAAGGACAAAACAAACACGTCATGTTACCTTCAACGACATCGCTACATATACTGGCCTCCTTTACAGACTTGTGGCCTGACGGTTTTGTTACAGAGGGAGTTTGCTAGAGAGAGAGGTTTTCAACGCCCAACAAGTCTCCTTCCACTCAGCATCTTGAAAGGGACATCTGCGAATGAGGCTAGTAATGTGACCACTACTCTTCCAGGAGAATTTATACAAGTTCACTATTATCATCTGGATATCCAGTTCTTTTCCTTCATCTTTACTTCTGTTTGAAAACCAAAGAATAGAATGCATTGCCTGAGAACTGATTATAAAAAGGGGCAGTGTGGTCCTTACCCGAGCCACAGTTGTCTGGACACTGTGTCCACCTGCTGAAGGCAGTGACCAGACAGTCCCGGTCACAGTCCACTGCACAGTCCATCCGCTCAGCTGGACGTAGGGTCTCTGGGCACCTAAATTGGCAAAGGTAAAATTAAATACTTATCTGCAGTTTAAAAGAAAGCTCTGGGAAAGGCTTGCCCACAAACATGAAAATTCTTATTTCTCTTTTCCATAAACTTTTAAGTAAATAAGACGAACCTTTTAGTAACTAAGATGTCTTACCTTTTATCAGCTACTTGCTGCCCTCCTTCCTTCATGCACCAGACTTTCCTGGACTTGACTCCAAACCCACAGATCTTACCCTCACCTGTCAATCAACAAAACTGTCAGTCAAACATCGCATCCATGGCAACCCTGTAGTACTGTCATTCTGATGTGAAAGAAGGACATAAGCTCAACTCAACAAACATAAACTTAAAACATCTGTCATGTGGTATGATAATGCAATGTACTGTACTTGCCTGTGATATTTCGTGGTGAATACGTGATGCCCCTCTGAAGTTTACAGTCCCTCCACTCCCCCATCATCCAGCTGTACTTGGTACAGCCCCACTCATTACATGGCCTGCTCTCAGTCAGGTCTGGCTTGGGTGGGCACAGCTTACCGTCTAAATGGGGGTGATAAAAAATAAACCATACTGTTACAACAATTCAGTGGGAAGTATTGTTAAGCATACTTGAGTAAGAGATAGACCTGAGTCAGAAGAGTATAAAATCAGTTTGCTTTAGTTTGGGAGACTGTGGAGTTAGCGGCATAACTCTTGAAGGCATGTATCGGTGTTCATGATTTTTGGCAGGCAGGTTACCGTTGGGGAGACCAAGGTCAAGTTCAAACATGGGCTTCAGTACCCACCTCCTCCAGGGTGAGCGATGATGTTCCTTGTCCTGGTCTGTCGCCCCCCCGCAGAGCCACAGGGTTTAGAACAGGTGGACCAGGGGCCCCACTGTCCCGGCACACAGTCGCTAGGACACGGCACGTGGCAGTCCAGCTCGTTCTTAGGCCGCGGGGAGATCACCTGACAGTACTCATCATCTACGTCATCCTGAAGCAGGAAAGAAAACCATTATTCAGTTAGATACTGAGGCGGCGGGAGAAACCACTGTCCAAGAACACAGTCATTAGGACATGACATGTGGCAGTCTAACTCACTTTAGGTGCAGAGATATCATCTGACACCTACATCATCCTCAGTAATGATCAATTACAAAAATTGTTTCCTATCTATTACTATGTTTATGTACATTTAAAAAAAACTCTTACAGTGTAAAAAGTGACCACCACCACACAACAACCACCCGACCAGTGTGGCTACTTTTTTTCCAGAGCCCCTTGCAGTATCTGATTTTCAAAACAGCAACTCAGATTCAAACTTGAGTTTGAGTTCATGATGAAAAGATGAAATGCTTGTTTAGTGCACTGTCTATACATGTGTATATGGACACTTCCAACCTACCCCGTCAATGTTCTCACAGAAGATGGTCCTGTACATCTTGCCTGCCCCGCAGGACTGTGTGGTGTCCACCAGGAGACATCTGCTGGGCTCCCCGACGTGCCAGTGGTAACATGACTGGACCTCGCACGGCAGGCTCTCACTCAGGGGCGGACAACTCACCGCTTTCTCAGGGTCAGAGTTCAACACTGACCTGGTCCTGGTCATAAAACCTGGTGGTGGGAATAAGAGGATGGTGTTTAGTTAAAAAAAGATTTGTGAAAGACTGAATTCAACTGTAGGATGCTTCTTAGCTGGGAGACTGATCAAAATAAGCAGAAATACCGATAGGAGCTCAGGATTTTCTGTCACTCTGGAAACCTGTCCAATAGGAGCCCAGGATTCTCAGTCACCATGGAAACCAGACATAATGGCCTCTAACACCATTGTAACTGTCAATTCCAAGTAGCACTACAATTCAATAGTGTTAGCGTGCACCTTAACAGGATTATGATGTTCAGAATTCTCCTGATTTAGAGAAGTTGGCCATCAAGCTTCTAGGGGCCTAAAAAGTAGAAGATCTGCTAGAAGTGTGATTTTGTGAGTCTACAAGTTTGTATCTGATTTTTAGCTCAGCACTCAACTTCCACAATACACTTGAGAAGATGGCCTACCTCTGGATCCGGTTGTACCATTGCAGCTGAGGGGTGTACAGGACGACCATGTCGACCAATGAGAGACCAGGCAGGGTTCAGGGCAGGGCACCGTGCAGATCTGGGCACTGGGAGGGACTAGGCCCCCACACAGAGAGGACGGAACTGGGGTCTTCTCTGGAAAGATAACAGAAGACTGCAGGTTACAACATTGTTTTCAATCTAATTTTCGCATTTTTTGTGCTAACTTTAAAACTTTGATATCACTGCATATATATATTTCAATCTCATTACTTCAGTATTGCTGTACAACTGTTATGACTGCAAACTTATGTTAGAACACTGCAAAAACTTTCTCATCATTTCGTGAAATGTCCCAGTAAACATAAAGAAGAACTTTATTGCATGACAATTTAAGCAAATACAATGTACTGTATGGGAACATATTCATACATAGTTGCTAAAATAATGAACAGTACTCACTGACAACCACTGTCACTAGCGTAACATATATTCCACTCCATGCACATGTTCATCAGTGTCATGTTTAAAACAGACGGTTCCTGTGGGATTACCTGGATCTCCAGTCTGTACACAGAAGACTCTCCTGTGCTGCACCCCTCCTCCACATCCTGACCTGTTAACCATCTTCCACTCCTGTCTGGTCATCACCTGGTCCACACGGCACTTCCCCCAGGCACCACCTATCCACCGGTACCTGCAGAAACAAAAAACATCAACACGTTTACAGTATATCTCCTAACCCACTCCTGTCTAACGCTAACCCTAACCCACTCCTGTCTGGTCATCACCTGGTCCACACGACACTTCCCCCACGCACCACCTATCCACCTGTACCTAAAGGATAAACAAACATCAACACGTTTACAGTCTATCCTCACTCCTGTCTGGTCATCACCTGGTCCACACGGCACTTCCCCCAGGCACCACCTATCCACCTGTACCTAAAGGATAAACAAACATCAACACATTTACAGTCTATCCTCACTCCTGTCTGGTCATCACCTGGTCCACACGACACTTTCCCCACGCACCACCTATCCACCGGTACCTACAGGATAAAACATGTTCATCAACAACTTAACAGTCTATCCCCTAACCTACCCATGTGAGGGCATACTGGGTATGAACCCCGTGAATCTACTGAAACCCAATCTCCACCCACCCACTTCCAAGCCTTCCTACTTAGTACGAGATCCACACACACCTGCCCAAAACAATACTTCCAATAACATAAGACATACTTAACAGACAGCGTTTAACTTCTTGTTCGAAGTTGTTTACCTAGTAACTCATGTAAAACTAGTTTAAAACTTATGCAAGAGCTGTGCAAGAGTCGTGGAAAACTAGTTTAAAAGCCATGAGAAAGTTGTCTGAAAGTCGTGCAATTTAGATATGCGTGTACACGCATTTACCTTGGGCAGATAGGCAGGTCCTGGTCATGCCCACACCCTTCCTTCTCCTCCAGATGTGGACAGAGTTTCCCCTCGCCGCTGGGCAGCCCTAACACTCGCCGCGTGCGCCTGCGCACCCCGGCCGTGCGGCGGTCTCCCGCGGACACACACGTCAACGTGCATGGTTCCCATGGCGACCAGTCCGACACCTGGCAGTCCTGCGGCATCACGCACGACTCGTACGTCGGCGGAAGGTCAACAACGTTACCTTGGTAACAGTAACTGTAAATAAAACAAAACATTAAGACATAAACATATAGACAACTTATATACAGAAAATGTTTCTTCTTTTGAAAAAACAAAAGACAATTCACATATGTAATGAAAAATACTTGGAAGACTTTTCTACTAGCTATAACTGCCTATTTCTGAATGACAGGATCTTTTAGTAAAATCAATGAAAAAAGCTGCCCATGTCATGTTATGTTACGTGCAACCACATGTGACTCTCTGGAGACAGGGAACAACAGACGCTAAAAGGGATAGTCAGTGAGTATGTGCGTTACAGCAATTCTTCATAACCACTGCCCAATAGAAATAGACAACATTATAGAAAAGATCTGCCTCTTCTTAACTCACCTGAGTGACACCTGTTGTCCATCCTCCCTCATACACCTGACCTGCCGTACTCTGTACCCCACACCTGGCCTGTCCAACATGTCTTCTGACTTATCCTCGTCTTCAGAGGACTTACTAACATCCTTGTAACTCGTCGTTACTCTAAGATCTGACTTATCCCCCGTAGGTTTGTCAACTTGTCTTGCTGATTTGGACTGCTTGCTATCTTCACGACATTCTGTCCACGGGCCGACTTTGATGTAGTACGAGTGTCTCCGTTGTTCCCGACAGGGAGGTACGTTGGTGCAAACTCTCATCATCATCAGGTCTGGGCAGTGTCGGCCGCCGTGCAGGTTTGGTCGGAGAACGTTCCTCACCCTTGTCTGCGTCCCTTCCCCGCACGTCGTGCTACATTTGCTCCAATCTGAGAACTCCGAAACCACGCAGTCCTGCGGGCAGGGGACCTCGCAGCTTTGCTCAATCTGCGGCTTGGGGAAAAACTGTTCGCATATCCCGTCAGGCATGACGCTAGATGTAGTTCTCTGTATACACGTAACATTACGTTCTTGCACGCCGAGCGACGTACACTCTACTACGTTTCTCAGCACGGCTTTTAAGTCGGAGTCTCGCGCCCGACATTCCCCCCAGTCCTCCGTCCTCCACTGGAACATGTGTCGGTGTCCTTTGCAGACTCTGAAGCAGCTCCGTTGTTTGAGCGGCTGGACGAGGTGGTTACAGTCCGACGCTGACGTGGCCCAGTTTTCAGCGTGCTCGCACCAAACCGTCCTGGTCTGGACGCCACCATTCCCACAGCTGTTTCCCATACAGTCACCCCACGGACCTGGGGAGAGCAAAAACCTGTGTCAGCATTTCTAGATACATGTTGTAGCCCAAAGGGTGCACATCTGTGAATTTGCTTCATGTTTTACGAGAAGAAGTAAATTCAACTGCCCACTTACAACACAAAGAACAAGTACTCTCCCCTCCTACTGCAAAATTAAGTACTTTAAGTAATCTGCCACAGGTTTTACTTTTGTCTACCACTTTTGTTTTGATCAACAATTGGGAACAGCTTGTGAGCTGATGAATCCCTGTGCCGTATCCTTACCCACTCCATGACTACCGGTACATGTCACCTTTGTTAACTCCTGCACAATACATGATGTTGTAAAGAAAGACTGACTCCCGACCCACTTTGGAAAACCCAGACTCACCACCTGTGAGGTCATGTTTTACTGACCTGGGACACTAGGGGTCCTCGGTGCACAGTATGACAGCACCATGGGTGAGGGAATGACAATTATAACTTGCACTAATTATGGCTAGAACAATGTATAACCTTGTTTTTCAGGAAAATTTTCCCGAATTTTGGTATTTGCTTTTAATTAGGGCAGTTTTGGGATCTTGGACACTCCAAAAAGACGCCAAATCAACAAACCCATCGAGTACAAAGTGAACAGAAAAATTTAGCCCTTCTTTTTCTGTAAAAGGTGTAAGGCGTTTATCAAATAAAACAGCCTAAAGGAGCTTGAGCAGGTGACAAACCCCAACAGCTGCCTGGGTAGCTCTAACAGTTATCTGACTGATAATCTTTCCAAGTCTCAGTAATCGGTAATAGAAATAGAATGTGTAACTAATATAAGAAAATAGCATGCAGTCCTTATCCTCATTCCAAGATAAGTCACCAGGGTATTGATAGCTGTATATGATTGACAAGGTCTCAAATTTCAAAACACAATCTACAATTTCATTTCATTTGCTGCATACATTACAACCAGTTTACAAGGAAAATAATTTGTAAACAGAATATGTGTACTCATATTAAACATCTGATTAATTCAAAAGATTGATCTATAAAAATGACTACCATACATCCTCTTCATTGGCAAACCCCTATCACATCCTCAAAATTTGAGCCATTCCATGTTCCTTTATTTTTAGGCTTTAAAACTCCACCACACCCTCTACTCTAACCAGATGGTACCAATTTCTCCCTCATGGAGACCATCATACAATTGTGTCTGGACGTTCAGGCAATCATGACAGATGTTTTATGATTCAGTTTTCATATAATTGTACACTAAAGAATCAATATAGGTACTAATGACCTAATAAATAGTTTTCATCTAAATCATAGTCCTTTCAACTGAAGCCAAAGCTTCATAAATGCTTTCTCGCCTCTTTTAAATTCTGTACATAACAGGTATATTATCAATAAAACAATATGTCACTATAATTATAGTATAAAGAATGCTATTTCAGTATTTGCTACAAAACTATCATATTATACCAAAATGAAAAGGGAATGTGCTAGAAGCTTTGGATGGGACACTAGCAACAACTGTACCAACATCTTACAACAATTTCAACTGTTGGAAAAACAGCCATGATAGCAAAACCACCAGGCGGAACTGTATAAAAGAAGCCAACAACGTCTTTCATACCGTATGCCACACACATAGTTAGAAAACATCTGAGAGTGGGCACGCTTGGATAATGTGAAGAGCAGAAAATTGCATTGTCCAGCCAGCCGCACATACTTTTGTACTTCAAGCCTATTTTGCATTCAAGTACCCAAAGCCTTGAAAGGCACCTTCATCAAAGGCATTGTGTCCCTATACTTTCTTTTTCTAAGATTGCATGCCATATTGTAGATACTAATGATTGAAGGAAAATCAGTTAGAAAACTTCATTGTTAAGGAAATGGAAGGTTCAAAAGAGTAGTATCATCTGTTATTTTCTGAGACTTTTTATCAAAACTTTGATTAACTTTTGTAAAATACTGTTATTCAAAAGAATGACTGATGACAGAAAATTAAATGTAGACCCAAAAGTTCACTGAATGGTAGTGATTTCATATCCTTTTTATTAAGTAGTAGAATGATGAACATTGCTCTAGTAATAAAAATTAAAATGGATAGTACCATACACAAAATCTGACAAAATCAACAATTAATTGCTAGGGTAGCAGAAATTAACACGTGACCAAAATGTCTAGAACTTAGTAGAAGTAAGAATTATATCCATCAACTTAGGTTGTTCCTTAGCATTCTGAAGAATGACTGTTTTTGTGCTTCACTCCTTTTGCTTATTTTTCTTTCTCTTTATTTGTAATGTAGCTCTGAATCAACAGATGTCCTACCAAGAAGTCTACCACAGTCAGGGAGGTCCTAAACACAGGCTGGAAACCTTCACAACAATGCCAGGCTGACACGGCACATGGTCTCCTATAGACACAGGATGATAGTTCTAAAGTTTGACATTGTTTTCTATAAACTTGCACTTTGTGGATGGTGAGTATGAGGGAACTTCAGGCATTTGAATCGGACACAGTTTTTGAAACGAGTAAGGGCAACACAGTGGCTGTAAGCATGAGCCATAGCGAAGCTGCTTTGCACTATCCGCAGAAAAGGCATCAAACATTGTTCCAAGCATTACAACTTTTGATTCAGTTCAACATGCAGTTTCCCTTACTTATCATAAAACAAGGACTCCCAACGAAACATACACAAATGTTGTCAATGTTTTTTCTGTGGCTGTAAAAGTCCATTAGTCTCCATCCCCACTGTTTGCCCAACACTTTCCTCATACCAGTATTACTGGGGTTTACAGACATCCCTGTGATGCAGGCAGCTGTGCCTTTCTTAGCAAAGTACATTATCATCTTACACTTCCATCTGGTCAGTTCACAGAGGTCTGCATGGCAAAACACTGAGAGGCTACCGTATGGGGGTTTGCGCTTCTCTGGAAAACACGAAAATGTAGAAACCCCCATATACAGATAAAAGACTCTCTGGTAAAATGTTTTTCTAAGAGGAGAATGAGAGGTGAGAATGCACCTGCATTTTGAAATTAGAACATGTCCATGCGTACATGTAGTTGTGAGTCTTGAAACGTTTGCAGTAATTGCAGATGAGAATTTCAATGTATGACTGTACTGTAAAACTTTCAACTACATTGTACAAACTTGAAACACAACAAAAAACACTTTCTCCTCCTACTGCGAAATTAAGTCCCAGCAAATATAAATGAACTTACAGTACTCTGTAAATGACAGAACAACAATGAGCTCACATAAAACAAATGTTAAGTAGTCAGTCCCAAGGCAGACATTGATGCATATCCTAGCAAAAGTTTAGAGTGTTCTTGACCCTGTCTGACAATTTGTCAACAGCAGGCTGACCTCTGACCCCAGTTGCCAAGACAACCAGTCAGGACTGACATGTTGGAATGTAAACTTGAACCTTCCATCAGGAACTTTTGTGACAACTCAGTTCTGGAGTCAGGTGGTCAAAACGAGATTTCTGTCTAATGAAATGTCTAAAAACTGCCATTTGTTGACAGTTTGAAGCTTGGAAAAGGATCTCACGCTTAAACTTGTGCTTATTTTCTAAGTTTTGGAGTAGTTTTCAAGGTTAACCTTACAGTATACAGTACAGTCAAACCTGTACAAGTGGCCATATCAGTATATAAGAACCACCTGGCCAATGTGATCACCTTTTGGTGGTCCCTTGGGTAATTCTTCCAGTTGACAATGTCCACCTGTCCACATAGACCAGATTTCATTGTTCCTGAGTGATCTTCTTCTTCGGTAACTTTGACTTTTCAGTAGTTCTGAAGGGACAGTGACTTTTAAAATTTCACAATAGGAGCATTTGTGATGTTTTATGTGTTGCGAGAACAAATGGACAGTACTGCACTGCTTCTGAAGATTGTTCTGACCAATGGCATCCCTGTTCATACAACTTCAAATCCAAACAGACAGCCAGCCCCTATGCTGTCATTCCTGTGCTGTCCCCTTCTACATCACTGCTCACCACCTGTTCTATACCCTACTTGTTGTGGTCTTCTGGGGATGGTCTCAGAATTTAGGGGTCAACCATGAAGTTCAGGAGTCAAGGGCAAACATAATGGAGCTGCTGCTTGCCAGTTGCTGCTGCTATTCATCTGACATCTGAGTATGACATCTACATTACAACATACTGTCATCATGTATGAAAAAGACTGGATTTTTTATTAAAAGATCACTTATCCTGTGGTCATATGTTCACACTTCTCTCAGTAGGTTCTTGCTGTGCTCGTGAACTCTACACAATACGACATGTGCTGTCATGGCATTGCATTTCTACAGTTGTGTCAAACACAAAAACTAAATCACAGCGAATGCCTTTCTCCTCCCCCACTGCGAAATCAAGTTCCTGCAAACGTAAAACAACTGCCACTATGTCGTGCCTTTGGGGAAATATCACACAAGACAACACAACTTGGGACAATAGATGAAGACATTAACCAATAGCAAGCATGACTGCTGGCCTTTAAATTTTAAAGAGGGAACAGTACACCATACCCCCATGCCATCTCCCAGCTGTTGCGGAGTGTCATATTGTGGTCTACTGACCTCTGGTCTCCAGGGGGGACCTCAGAAAAAAGGATTGTTCCTAACCATAACAGACTGGCATCCATTCAAACCACTAAAATTCTTTCAATGCAGGAAGGGAAAAGAGCATATTGCAAATGGGGGCTCAGCTGCTGTTAATATATACAAAGGTTTGAAAACTCCATTCACCACTTGTTTTGTATTGAACAGAAATAACTTTGCAACTTGAAATTTGTCCTTGTACATGTACAACTCTTGGAAACTGTTTATGTTATACAATACATGAAGAAAAAAATTGATTAAATCGAAACGAGTGGCCACAACCTAAGATCTAGTTTGAGTGACACCGATTACAGTTACATCATCTCTGAAAATAGAAATATCATATGCCAAAATTAGACTGTTGTTTTCCTTGTGCCTGACAGATGTCTGTCATCACTGTAAAAACATATCATGTCCAGCTCCCTAATCAATGCATTATGCCTGAGGGTACTAGTATGTTAGAAATTACATCAGGACCATTTCAGTCACCATTACCGTTAATAATTCTAAAACCACAGGGAAAAGACTGAAGTGGAGTCATCTATTGTCTCATGACCAGCATACTGGTCAAACCTCAAATATGGAACATGTTTTATTAAAGGAAGGCATGCCATTGTATTCACTTTGAGCATGCTACCTGTAGTTTAACTAGATTAAAAATTAACTAAAAAGTGTAAATTTACCTTTTTAATGAGGGCAACCACAACATCATAGATAAACGATTTTTACCAGATGAAGCCTACAGAATGTCAGCAAATTGAAGACAGGGGTTCCCCAAGATTTTCTGATATGACAGTGCCAGGAAGATTTATCGAAAAAAAGATAAGAAGATGAGCTGGAATGCTGGCCTTTCTTTCATTTGTTCATTTGTGCCTACATGTAATGATCATGTATATTCATTCCTTTAATGTAAGTTAATTCATTTCAATTACAGGTACATTTATGTACTACATCACTTTTACCAATAGTCTGGATTCCAGACCCATAACAAAGCTAAGCCCAGAGTGGATCAGGGCCAAGGAACAGGCCTGTGTAGGCCCTGAAAACAGTCTGGCACCCAGGCTATTTTACCAATGGAAGAAGAATCTACCTGTGTACACAATTCATAACTCATATCCATGTATCACCAACATGTGTCTGTACTAGTGTTACTGGTGTAACATGATCCCTTCCTGTTTCCAATAGTGTAAAACCCTGTAGTATACACATACTACAGGCCTGCCTATCAACTACAGCTGTCAGTCACTAACAGTAACAACCAAACTCAAGCCAGACCTCCTCCCCAGGCACTAACCCTGACACATGCATGGTATGGCACCATGCGCACTCTTCCCTAGAGAACTTCCAAAATAGATCCCGACATATTTGGTCTCTAGTTTTGTGCGTATTCCCTTGCCTATTAAACTTGCTTATTTGGAGAGCGTACTTTAGGATGGTATTGAAGCTTTCCAATCATGTTGAGCCTGTATTTATCTATCCCCATGAGGTGTATACTGTAACAGAGATGTCTTGTCGAGATTACAACCTGGCCTATACATGCTGAGTCCTGTTTTATACAGATTTTACCTCTCTCCCTGATATTATCGTGGCATATGGCTGCCTACAATGTCAACAAAGATTTTTGAATCCATAAATCAAAAGATTAGGGGATTTCCATATATATCCATATATAATATGAAAATGAGATGACGTATTGTAGAAGTGGCAGAAAATCTCGTCATGGTTCTGTTATATAATATAATAAAACAAAGAAAAAATTCTAAGGGAAAATGTGTATCTCCATAGAACAATCAGAGGTGTAACACATATTGAGTGACGTGTTATTTTTGGGGTGGATGATTTCCAAACAAACAAAAATTCTAATTGTTATTTTAACCCCTTTTCTTCATTTATGTACACAGTTCAATACATGTAATCTACTTCGAGAAAAATGGCTTTTTTTTTTTCAAGTTGCAAGCATTCTTTGAAACATTTTTTCGTTTGTGAATACTGTAATTTGAGCACTCACCTGTTTTCCAGTAGTATTTGGATAGGTCCCTGGGTAGGTCTGTACTTGGCTGGTTTCCTCTGGCCGTCTCCAGGGCCAAGACCACCAACAGGCATAAACACTGCAACCTCCTCAGTACAAATACACTCTGATACTGCATCGTGCTTCTTTCTACGATTCTTACTTCACAAAAGTTTTTAAAAAACGTCAACTTGTTGTGCGTTGTAAAATAAATAACACTTGTAGCCAAATACCACAAGTATGTAACAATAAATATTACAAGAAATCCTGTGTTTCGGTGATCACTAGAATCTGCGGCAAGGTATCTCCTTCTCTTGCTTGACTTTTGGCGTCACAACGGCTATTTCAATAATATCCTGTATGAATCAGTGTGTTGCAATGCCAGTTGAATCAGAGCCTCCTTTCTGCATCAGTTCAAATCCGAACTTGTTGGACCCACATGTCAGCAGTGCCAATCATCCTGTCGGAAAAGATACAGAGAAGTTTCCGTCCTCGAAGTTGGTGGACTGGATGCAACAGGAAAGTAAAATTGTCCTCACAAATCTGCAGTGGCGAAACGTGTCAGCTTGCCGTGCCTTGTCCCAGCAACTGTTACATATGGCTATTGAGCTGTTACAGCAACAACATACATCAATCCACTGAGCAACTTGGTAGACTCTCTATGCAACATCAGCGACTACATCTCCAATCGAAGTCCAACTTATAACTGAGAAGTTGGTGAGTTTTCTCCAGTTGGGCCCTTTTTGTCAGAGCAGACTGTGGTTGAACTGGTGTGTGTTTACCCCTGCAGACCCTGTCTGGGTGCTGACAAGAGCCACACATGTTTCAGCCATCTCCCAGGGGACATCATACTGAAACTAGCCTCTCAGTTGCCACCTCCGATTCGAATCATGTCCGCTGACTCCTCATTTGGTTCCTAGGATTCCAGCCTGGTGTTGAATGTTGAGGTTGGATAAAATAACAAGAGGTAGTTGTGGCAACTTTGGTTCCTTTGCCTTGCCTCTGTCAGAAACCTGGAGAAAAATAAACAAAGTCTGTCAGATCTACATGATTATATAACCTTTAAATGTCACTTTGTAATGTGGCTTTACAAAATGATCTGAACATCAAAAGCATATTTGTAGGGAAGGTTTGTTTGTTGTTCTTGGCAAAGTTTGCCTCCAAGGATGTCACAAACTGCTGATAGACATGACACATGTTGGTTACAAACAAATAAATAAATACAAAGCAACAACATTAGGAAGTAAAGATGCGTAGAGTGGGAGCCCAAGTGAGCTGAAAAGTCAAGATTATAAATTATAATGCAGCTTCTTACCATTATACATGTACCAATAACTGATAAATTCCATGTCATGCAAGCATCAGTACTCCTTTTGCTTTGAGTAGTTCTGCTCCAATATCATAATGTTTGACCAAGCAAGTTCAAATTAGGCCTACATTTATTTATACAACACTGTATCAATGCAAATTTGCCCTTTACAATGATCCATCATAATTGCTATTGTTTCTTTAATTCCTCTCAAAACAAATCATGAAATATTTGCAGAGGTTGTGTTCACAGCTCAAACTCATCATACTGCTATGAACATGCACTGTGTTGCACCCAAAAAGTCCCCCAAACTTAAAATGATTTACAGACATTTACACACACTTTAGGGCCATGAGCTATTACAACTTTCTTGAACATATTTAAACTTTGAGACAAAGTTCAAACAAGCCTTTGCACTTCGGCAGAATTTACAGGAACAGCAAGTCCTTCTACAACTGTAGACAGATCAGAGCGCGAACCAGACAAACAGACTGCTCTGTGTGTTTACTTAACGAACACATGCTAATTATCCTGCCAACAATGCTCTAACGAGGAGGAAGTACATATCTACTGGGGTTTCCCTGGATGAGCTCCCTGGAGGACTCAGATCCTGCGTCCTTTCCTGTGATAAAAACCCAGGTGTTACGAGAAACGTCGCACTCTGGGGCTGAACAAGCCTTTTTCTGTCTTCTTCGGTCATTTGAAGATCCACATGCCTGGATTCCATAGACAGAGTGTCTGAAGGCCCTGGATTCAGGAAATCTGGATGTTGGCAAAGCTGAAGAGTATTTATACTTGGAATTTACAGGTTTTGGGCTAGTTTTATACTAATGCTGACAAACATGGTACTGTAAGTCTACAAATTTCCGCGGTATATTTAGATTCGCGGAATTCGCGGGGACCTTTGTACCGCGAATCTATTTCCCCGCGAATATGTTTTGCGTAAGTGCGCCCCCCTCCCCACATGCATTCACGACGGTAAGCGAAACACAAACACACGCGATTCACAAATCACTGCAAGTCAACTTTATTCTTAGCAAATGTACGTATGTTGAGTACCAAAATTTTTTTAAGTTATACTGATGTCAAAAAATTATAATATCATGAGACACCGAATCGCGATACTGCGGCACTGGCCGTGTCAAACGTGCACCGCCGGACAAAAATCTCTGTGTGCAGCGCGCCGGCCATGCGCGCCCGGGCGCTTGAAAATTGTGGGCACATCGGGCATATCTACAAATATTTTGATTAGAAATATAACTGCTGGTATCTGGGAAATGTTAGTTGATTCTCTTTTGCGCTCTGCTTTGCGGGCGTTTTTTTTTTTTTTTTTGCTGGATAGAAACGCTACCGTGGGCCGCTACAAAACCGAAGGCGACCTTTGCATACTTCCGGGTTCAAAATCTCGCCGAAGACGGCATAAATATTTTTAGTAATATATATTTTCCCGAAAGATTCTTTCGATTATGCATTTCTTCACTAGAGTATCGATGTGTAGTCGTGGAAAATAGCGTTTTAGCGCTTATTTCCGAACAAAGAAAATTGTTTACACGTGCGTCAGATCGATCGTCAGCTATACCACCGGCAGCCTCGCGCGGTGCACGAAACAAATTTTTGCGCCGCGTTTTAGGATATAAATGCCGGAACACGACCTTTTATTATTTTAAATATACACTTTGAAAAATAGCCAAGGAGAAATCGCGAATCTAAAAATACCGCGGATTGTCCATTTTCCCGAAACCGCGAACTTTAGGCCCCGCGAATCTAAAGAGACTTACAGTAGTTATTCAATCAGTCAAATATTTTGGTCATTGAATCTACCTTACCGTGTTGCCTAGCAATATTCATTAAAAGTACAAATGTGATGTAATTGCATGAACATGTCGTAAAAATGCCATTTGTGACTGTTAAAATCAACTTTTTTTACAACAAATTCACTCATATTACCAAAGGCTCACTCAAAGTAGGTTCTGACACTGTGACGTAATTTTTGGCACCTCAAAGGTAATAATTTGCATACCAGTTCATCATGGGGTCATTTCACCTAATCATCACCCACTTGAGATCCATTCGTTTTACCCTGCTCCAGGCCTTTAAAACAGCCGATTGTCGTAAATTGCATCACAATGGCCCATTGTTACAGGTTTGGGATAAAGATTCATACATTTGAAAGGAAAGTATGAAAGCTGTTGATCAGATGCAAATCAGAACAAGCGTAAAGGGGGAAATGTTTCTCGCTGCAAGGGGTGCGATTGAGTATTGTTATTCTAACGAGGACAGACAACTTTTTTTCTTGGTTAGAGGAATAAGTGAGAGGACAACAAGGCATGTCATACCAGTGCGTAGGATGATTAAATTATTATCATTAAAAGGCAAGGTCCAACCAACTGTATCACTGGCACTGTCATGCCATGTGCACAGAGAGACATCACACAAACATTTCACACAATAAACATCATGCTGGTGGGCAGTTATACCGGCTATACAGATACAGATCATGCAAATATGTGGAAAGAAAGTCGCTCAAGATTGCTGAGCATTTACTGGTTACCAGTCAAAGTCAATTTTTTCCCTTTTTCACTAAGGACCAGGTAATACCTTTGGTCATGCCATAACAATCTCATACAATTGCATGAGTGAATGATCATTGTTGTTAGACTCACATGCAAGTAAAATGTTACATTGATTACAAGTAAATTTCTAGACAACCACAAACAAATTACAAGCTTCTAAAATCCACACATTCAATACAGAAGTATTTTCCTGTTTTGAAAATGAAACGCTGCTATATCATAATTTTCTGCTCTACATACGAACTTGCATCACATGAAACCAATTAGCCTAAAAGCCTAGTGGACAGGAAAATGGTGTAACACCACACTCCATATTTGAGACACTTCATTGCCAGGGCTTGGTATCACATGAGCTGGAAAATCCTTTGAGAGACTGCAAAGCTTCTTTTCCAAAGCTAATCCCTCTAATTACTCTAAAAACCTCAAACAAGGGACAGAAATATCTGTGTAAGGTAAAGCCTGTATTAGATTCCTAATTGAAACGCAGCCTAGCCAGAAAGACTGATCTATGAAATGAGTGAACACCATAACTGTAAGCCCTGGTAAGTGGTACAAGCTATCCTAAAACTGGTCCTTTAAAAGTCAAAACGTCCACTATGATTACACAATGCCAAGCAAAACTTAACTTTCACGTATTTCACAAATAAAGAAGTCAGAGTTCTAGCCTGCTGTTGCTCTACAACTTTCAAAAACTTTCAAAACCCAACAACCACCTGGCCGAATTACCTGTGACATAATGAAAACCGACAGGGGTAACTAACACAAATGAAAATCAAACTATCCCCACCTTTTGGTGTAATCAGTGTAGAGTACTTTTTCAACAGGCCAATTCTGACCACAAAAGAACGCGCATTTGCTTACATATTCAAAATTACGTCAAACACAAGTCATTACTTTGCCTAAAGTATGGTAATTTGTAATAATGGGATTAATCACAATACAAAGCAGACGCTCCAAAATTACCATACAATGAAGCTACATAAAGTGTACAACTTACGGTTTTTCTCATTGTTCTAACTCCATATGCCAGCTTTGCTGCTTTCTGTCACAAAATGTAGTGTATCTAGACATAATGTACATGGTACATATCTTCAATATTGACTGTCTCTATGATACAGGTAAGTACTATAGACAGACTGGCCAAACCAGTCCTGAACCACTTCCTGTAATTCAGGCCGGATTGCTTCCTATAGCTGACAACCAGAACACCACACAACAATAAACAGGCAGTTCTGTGGTCAATGAAGTTGATTAGTCATTGCACAGTCATTACCACCAAATACAGTGTGTAGTATGCGACTGGCCATTGTTTGTAATCTCCAAGCAGATATTGGGGAGGAACATTGTACAGTATGCCCCAAAAGCCAGCCAGTACGTAAGCCCACCTAACATCTCTGACCAGCTAACTGCTCTGGCAAAGTATATTTACTTTTAATATTTTACACAACATATAATATATTGTATCCTCCGCTAACTGACCATGCTAAATGGTCGTGCGACCTTTTAGTGTAGTGGTTAGCGTTGGTGACCGCCAAGCGGACAACTCGGGTTCGATTCCCGCTTGTGACCTGCTCGCCCCTTTCGGTTTTTACAGTGGTTCCCATGCCGGCCCTGTGAGTACTGGCACTGAGGATAAGTGTGGCAGCTCCAGGGATGTCGGACTCGGAAGATTCGAGGACGAATCTTGAAAGAAAAGGGGGAGTAGTGTAACAGTGCTAACTGACCATGCTAAATGGTCGTGCGACCTTTTAGTGTAGTGGTTAGCGTTGTTGACCGCCAAGCGGACAACTCGGGTTCGATTCCCGGTTGTGACCTGCTCGCCCCTTTCGGTTTTTACAATATGGTCACTTTCTACAATATTTTCTATGCACAAAAAAATTTAAACAAAATACATACATGTACCTCCAACTTAGCTTTTTCTTACCGTATGTAACTTTTACAAAGTACAAACTGCATTGTTGGTTCTGGAAATCACTGTACTGATAGAAGAATTAGAACAGTAGCAAGAGACACTACAAAGCTGGCTTGACTTGACTTTTCTCATCCCCACAGCCTGCCTCTATGTAAAACAGCCCTGTCTACCTGACTTCCATCCCATACCTGTAATAGACCACTGATTGCTTCCTCAGAA